CTTGAACTGTCAAGGCATAATCAAAAGATAGTGCGTCAAGCGAAAGGCAGCCTTTTGCTGTGTCAAAAAGAGCCTTCTATGGCTGTCATTTCGTTCAACTCAACGACTGCTTTCACGTGCAGATCGATCGAGATCAACGGTCCGAATGAATGGCCAACAAATATCTTACTTACAATACAAGTAGACATCCCGGATTTGGAAATTAAGCAGATCAAGGTTATGGCATCATGGACGAAGCTAAAGTGTGCGGTCGCCTGGTTTACCAAATTCAAGAGGTTCTTGTGCGGACTTGCCCATAAATACGAACCCATAACGACTCAGGATAGATATCAAGGCGGCGGAACGATGTACCGTGAAATACGTACAGCACCAAATGTTCAAGGATGATATCCGGTGTTGGAAACAGCCAGTGCGGGGTACCAAATTTAGGTCGGCACTTGACAAACTTCGACCGATGGTCATCGAAGGATGACTTCTCTGTATCGGTGGACGACTAGGTAGTAGCAATTTATCCATTACCAGTGTGCAATCCACATTACAGAATCTTCTCAAGAGATACTACAACTTCGATCATTCGGATTCTTGATTGTACGCCAGATTTCGATGTCATCCGCATACAGGAGGGATGGGCTGCACAGTTCACCGGGCAGGTCGTTCACATATACCACAAAGAGCAATGGACCAAGAACCGAGCCTCGGGGGACCCCACTGGGAGCGGAATACAACGCGGATAGCGATTTGCCAACACGGACGCAGAATTTTCGGTCGATGAGGAAGTCTCGCAGCCAATTCCGCATGACCATACCTACACCTAGGTTGAACAATTTTCGCAGAAGGTCGTGCGGTACCTTGTCGAAGGCCTTGCTGAAGTCCACGAAGATGATGTCCGTTTCATGTCCTTTGGCCTTGTCTTCGATCCAGCATTCACGTGCAAGTAACAGGTTTGAGAGGCATGAGAGACCCGGCCGGAAACCGTGTTGTTGGTGGCACAGGTAACCGTGGCACACCAAATGCTGCCGAAGCCGTGCAGCCACCAGCCTCTCCATTACTTTACCCTTAACGCTAGTAAGGCTAACTAGTCGGTAGTTCCCAGGGTCACTATCCCCAACTTTAGGTAGTGGAACAATGATAGCGTCCTTCCACTGCCACGGTAAACGCCCTTGAGTGAATGACAAATTGAACAGGTTGCACAATGGCGCTGCAAGTTCATCGTCCAGCTCCTTCAGGATCAGCGGATGCACACCATTAGGTCCAGGTGACTGCTGAACCTTTAGTCGACGCAGCTCCAGAGTCACCTCTCCGATTGTAAATGGGGTCCAGTTCAGCGCAGTGTCAATGTCCAGTACATGTGCCAGTGTGCTGGAGTCTGGGGTGTACACTGAGGTATAATGTGATGCCAGCATCTCCGCTTTGTCCTCATCTTTTTCGGCTAGTGCCCCATCTTTGGTGAGAGTCGGAAGACAAGGCGTTGCTCTGATTCTTCGCCTGAGGTAGGCATACAATCGCTTTGGTGCTTGTAATGAATCCGCTGCTAGTCGTTCCTTGAATCTGATTCTCTTGCATTCTTTTAGTGCAGTACAGTGATTCCGAATACATCGATATTCTTCATATCCTGCGCCTGTTGCACGGTACCTGGACCAGGCCTTATTCCGCTGCCAGAGGCACTCCCGCAGTTCTCGGTCAAACCACGGCAGACCCATAGCGTGTGTTTGGTGGCGGTGAGGTGGAGAGAATTCCAGTACGAGTTGCTGGATTCTATGACGAACCAACTCCCAGGATACATCCACATCCTCAGGGTTCCGGGAATCCCAATTTGTGAGCGGTGCAGCCTGACGCATATCCGGAAAGGATGAGCGCCACACATTCCGTCTGTCCTGTGGTCCGTCCGTTTGGGGTACGCCACGCCTCCAGTGTATACGCAGAACGGAGTGATCACTAGATGCAATTAGTGGAAGGAGGTCAATCCTAGTCGTATCTGATTGCCTCGGTGAAAATATCAGGTCAAGGATGGATCTTTGATCCCCAAATATCCGCGTGAGCATATGAACATGCTGAACAAACGAGACGGCCCGTGCAGCAAAAAGAAGTTCTCTGGAAAACAAATCTGCATGTTGAGAGCAGATGTCATTTTCCCAATCAACATGGGGCGCGTTAAAATCACCCAAGACAAGACAATGTCCATCACAGGCGTACCTCTGTAGCCTGGCCAGCAGCTCTGGGACGTACACAGCTGGTGTGCGGTAAATCATTCCAACTGTGGTATACCCTCCAGCAGAAAGCTTGATGCTGCACCACAGGGCTTCTCCAAATCCTTCCGGATGGGCGTGATTCTCCAGCAATCGAACAGGGAGATCCGAGCGGGCAAAAAGAACAACTCAACCACGGCGACGTGACGATGATCAATCCGTTCGAAACACTGTGTATCCGTGGAGTGATATCTCGGAGTCTCGGACATTCAGTGTCAGCCAGGTCTTAGTGATTGCAAAAAGATCGGGATTGTGGGATACAACCCAGTCCTTCAGCTCATCCCTTTTTCCCAGCATTCCTCAGGTATTGGTTGAGGCTAGTACAGCGTTATTACCTCGCCATTCGCGTTTCAAGCTAATCCCGCAGTCCATGGTTAAACAGTCTCCTGGGTCCTCCCCCGACCAAGGGTAACCAACTGAGGGCGCTTCCGATGCACACGAAAATCCCGTATACATAGATCAGTTTCCCCTTTTGCACAGCGCTCCCTGAGTTCTTCTAACGCAGTTTTCAATTTACTGCGCTGCTCTGGATCAAGATCCCTGAGGAATCGCACCGGATTTCCCTTCAGCTTGTGGGTCCGCTGGAGTATTGCTTTGGCCTCGCTTTCTGCTCAAAGAACCACTTTCAGTGGTCGTGGAGAATTATCCTATCGGGGTTTTCCAAACCCCAATACCGCTTTTACTCTGATCGATGCCGCTGGTTCCACCTCGTCGCCATCAAACAAGGTAACCATGTGCGACCTCAGCAGCTGCAGGTCGTGGTCCAGACGAGCCTGGGCAGTGGTGTCCTCGGCCTCCAGAAGATTGACAACAATAAGGCACTGAGATCTCGGAGGGGCTTCCTCTGCTGCATAGGTTCGTGCGAACCGCGGGGCATCTCTCAGCTGTCCGTGACATGTTACACGCACCGTGCCTGGATGTCGTGGACGATGGAGTCGAGTCTGTCCGTGAGATCTACGCAACAGACGATATCCCTGCCCTTTTATCGGGTGCTTCTGCTGCGGTGCAGCTGCAGGAGCTGCTGATCCTGGTTTGTGCAAATAGCTGAGAATCCATCCGTATTCGGAGGAATAAAGCGATGTTTTTTACTTGAGAACAAACATGAGAACAAACATCTCAGAAAATGTAGCTCGAAATCTCTCTACGAAGTGTGCCGATGTCTGTTGACCGTGAGATTATATCCAGTTGAAACTTCGGGTGTTGGACTGGGAAAGTAGCAACGGGTAGTTCAATTTGCAATGGTGGAGACTAATCACTTCAGCGTGCGTGAGTGTGTGTGTGTGTGTGTGATTTTAGAGTTTTTGTCTGGGTTCGAATGAGATGGAAAGCTATGTGATGACCGAACAAGGAGCACTGGACAGCTGTTTCGTCCTATTCGGGAATCGGCAGCAGTGTTTTCTTTGTGTGTCCTTTTTCGGACTCGAACCCTTGAACCTTCCGGTCGGGACTTCAAACCCTTACACCCATAAGCTACACGGTCATCGACGGTCATCCCCTTGTGCGAAAAACTCAATTAATTTAGACAGCGAATGTTTGGATTAGTTCATCCGACTTTTAACAGGCACCAGGCACTTTGATGATCTTGGTTGTGGGTTTCACTTCTTGAGAAATCGTTGACTTCCCGAACAGGACGAAACAGTTGTCCAATGAGTGCTGTTTTTCGGTCATGACAACCATTTCCACCGCATTTAAATGCGTTAAACTGGTGGGGAATTAGCAATTTTCAAAGGAATGAAACTCACATCGAAGATCATCATCAAAAGAGTCTGGTTCATGTGCAAAACCAAAGAGGCTAATCCAAATATTCACCGCCTAGATACCATGGATTGTTTAAACGCATTCCCGTTCTGGCCCGAGTGAACGCACATAACTATGCCAAAAATTAAATACACTCCTCGAACTCCCAGCAAGCACGACTCTCACAACAGAATCAATACATTAACTCTGTCACCTAGGATTGATTTGACAACGCACATTCAGAGGCGAACAATTGTTTTCATTGATTTATCTTCTAGCCTGTACAGATTAAATAAGGAAATGGCATATTGAGAGGGGATAGTTATTCAGTCATTCAAAAGTCACGGTGATTGATTGAAAGGGAGAGGAATGGGGGATGCGGTGGTGTGATGTATTTCACGCCCCTAGATGATCACTGAAACACGGGAATCAAAATGTGATGCGTCATCCGTGCGATCGATCTTCGGCCACGGTAGTTGAATGGCATGGTCCAATCTCTTTTGTGCCTAAAGATTGGGTTTGAATAAAACGAATGCTGATCGCTTCCGCAGTGGCTAAGGTGTGGAAACGCAGTGACTTGAATGGGTGCGGTGGAACTCGATAGCTGACTTTGAAGGCTGATTCAGGCTTCAGTTGGTGACTCGAATCTGCTAGGTGAGTGATAATAACGCTTTCCATTGGTTCAATAGTTATGAACGTATCACTAAAATTGGACAGTGACCATTGAGAACAGTTCGTCTTTTTTTGGCTACTTCATGTGATGATGAGGCTTTGATGTTTGAATTCCGCCATTAATGCCTCATTTTCGCAATCGTCTATTCCCCTGAAACTAGCTACCACATCGTCTAGCCTGACGATTAACTGCAACATTTTG